ACCTACTTTAGAATACATATATGATATATACATACAAATAAAAATGCATATGTTTTAATGGAATCTTGCAGCAATGAGTGATAAGGCTCTCCCACAAGAACTAAAGACCATGTAATGAAAATCCCAGTCTTAGGCATGGGAAACCTTTCTTTGACTTATAAATCAGAGGGTCCAGCAATCCACCAACACAACAAAGGCCATTTCCATTGCCCTTGGAGGCCTCCCAGAACTTGAAAATAAGGCCCTATTACTGAATGCACCTTGGACACAGGACTTGGAGGAATCCACCTGGAATTGGTCTGGAAGCCTCCTCAATGAAACTAGCTCTCCCAGTAGCAGCCTCTGTGCAAGCTGCCAAAGGAGAAAAGCAAACAACAGGCCTAACTCCACTGCGGCATGATGAAAACTGACCTTTGGTGGCCAAGGGAGAGCTGGTTTGTCAGGAGAGATCTGCGTTCTCCTCTGACCTGGTCCCTTGAACAAGGGCTATCAACTTTGTTCATCAGCACAGCAAATATGGTACCAAGGGAGAACGAGGGACAATCAATCTTTTACAGAGCCTCGCAAGGGGAGAGATTGTTCTTTGGCCCTATTAACTCATAAGAGCACACAATCTCACAATCAGATGCTATCGGTCTGTACCCATATGTCGCTTTCAACATTTTACTTGAAGGGGAACACTTTTCAGGACCTCACTGTTTTCAGCAAATGTGCTTAGGTCCAGCCACTGCACCTTATGTATACATCCATTGTCCTGAATTAGGGATGTGAATGGTAACAAAGGAAAAACAAGGAACATGGTCCATCAGGGCCATTGATTACATTGTTTTTCTTAAAGGGCAGCTGTTTCTGACTCAGTATGTAAAAAGAATGAGTGCATAGTCTAAATGATTTCAAAGCACATTATTAACTTGGTTAAAGGTTGGGTGAAAGTTTGATCTGTAAAGACAAGCTTCAAACAGCATTTCCCAGAAAAACCATTCCCACACAGCTCTAAAGCCATGAACCACAATGACCAGCCCAGAAAGATGTCTCTTATGGGGCAATGGTAACACTTCATATTGTGGGTATTTAATAGCGTCTAATTGAACTAAGTCCCATTCTATAGAAAGAAATGTATGCCTACTTTAAACCTAGACAATTATCCATAATTGGAGAGGTCATAGACACTAGAGAAGCACCTGTTACTGCATCTTTCTAAATCATTGTAGCTTTGATTGTATTGGAAATTCTTGTCTTCATAACCACGGATAAATGTAGCTCTCACTCCTCATCAAAGAAACTTCTTTCACATATAAATCTATTTCGAATTTCATACATGAGTAATTTATAGATGAGCATTTATATCAATTCTATTTCTCCCTTTTTCCCTTTCACCCTGTGTCCTCCCCAATTCATGACTTCTTTTATTATTGTTGTTGTATATACAGACATAAGTATATATACATAGACAACTGACTGGGTCCTTTTAATGTTGTTTGTATGTATTCAAGGGTGACCTCTTGGAATTGGATTCATCCAATGAGGGATAAGTTCCTAGAATGTATACAGGACATACTGTTTTCAATACAAATATGTCAAATCCCATCCATAATGAGAGGATGAACAAAACAGACAATCCTCAAAAGAAGAACAAAATGCCCAATGAATGCATGATAATAATCTTCAAAATCTTTAATCCAAGAAAATGCAAATAAAAACAACAGTGAGGAACTGGAGAGATGGTGCAGTGGCTAAGAGAGCTTGCTCCATAAGTATGATGACATAATTATGATGACATCCCAGCAAGCATGGAAAGAGCTGGGCAGATCAGCACTGAGAGGATCCCGAGACAAGAGGATTTCTCTGGCTTGACTACTTCCTCACTAGGAGAGAAGTAAGCCCCAGATTCAGTGAAGCCCTGTTTCAGAGGAATAGGCACCAAGTGGTGGCAGAGAAGAAATTTCTTCTAACTTCTGCACACATAGCCCCCCAGCAACACACACGCTATTCCCCCTCAAATCATAAATCAATACAGATAACTCTTAAAACACAAACTCCATTGAAATTCTGTTTCACCCCCAAGAAAAATAGCTATTAATCAATAAGGGTAAAATAACACAAATGTTGGAGAGGAGGGAGGTGAGAGGGGAAGGAACACCTAAATATTGTTGATTGATGGGAGTACAGGAATGTAAATGTTAGTTCCTTTACAATGAACAATTATAATAGTGGTTTCCCAACAAAGTAAAAAGAGAAATGCTCACACACTTTTACATGCGAATATCTAGCATTCCCAGATCATTTGCTGAAAATACTACCTTTTCTCTTGTGTATATTTTTGATGCCTCTATCAAACATTCCATGGTTGGGTTTGTTTCTGATTTCTCTATCCAGTTTCCTGACCTGAATTTCTGTGGGTGGGTGGGTTGCTTGATTGCTTGCTTTACCAATATCAGGCTGCTACTTGTCAGTGTGGCTGTATTCTGGGCTGTCCACAGGTGTTATGATGCATCCACAATCACTCTTGATTCGTGATTGCTGTGGGGCTTCTGTCCATCTGTGTGGACTTTAGGGTTGGTTTTTCTACCCCGTGAAGAATGGAACTGTAATTGTTATGCATTGCCATGTATCCAAAGATCAGTTTTAGTGATACAGCAGTTTCCACCATACTAATTCTCCCACTTTATGAGCACAGGACTTTCCATATTCTAATGTCTTCTTCAATTCTTTTCTTCAATGTTCCAAGTTTTTATTGTAAATTATGCTTATGCCCTGGTATTTATATTTTAGTTACTTTGGTGGGATTTCTCCTCCTCTCTAATTTATTTCTTTGGAAGCTTGTTACTGGCATATAGAATAGCTACTGATTTTTGTGTTGATTTAGTATTCTGCTACTTTGTTGAAAGTGTTCACCGCTATTTTCTATTTAAGTTTGTTTTTTTTTTTTTTCTGACGTACTACAACACTGGCTAAAAGCAACTTGGGGAGGAAAAGGTTTATTTGGCTAACATATCTAGGTCACAGTCCATTGAGAGAAGTCAAATCTGAGGCAGAAGCCTGGAGAAAGGAACCTAGAAGCAGGAACTGAAGCAGAGGCCGTTAGAGGAGCTGCTTACTGGGTTGCTCCCACCACTACCACCACCACCATGCACCAAACCCATTTTTCTCATCTTCCATAAAAATCTATTCAAAGGGATCAAAGACCTCAGCATGAAAAATTGACTGGATATGAACCAACATGTAGGTAAGTTTGTAAGTCTATAGCTATATGTGTCCACATCCAGCCAGGCTTATGCAATATTGGGGATCAAACCCAGGGCCTTTTTCATGCTAGGAACATTCCAACAACTGAGCTACTCTCCAGTGCACAGGTAGATGATTTTTATGAAGTAAAGTATGAAAATAAAACAGAGCTAAATAATAGTTTGAGCACACTGAAATATTACATTGAGTAAATGTTTTTTAACATGGACTTTAATAATGAAGAAGGTTTGTATTATTATTGAAAGTTTTCATTACTCACAGAGGTGAAAAGACACAAAGAGAGAAAATCAATGAAAATTAATATTTACAAAAAAAAGAAAAAAAATTAATATTTACTTCAACTAAATCAAATAAATGGATGAAAGTAAAAGTATAAACTGAAGGTTTATGTGACTGTTGATACAATTTGACATTGACTAAACATTGATGATGATTACTATTTGCTTCTCAGTTTGAAAGATTATACTTATGTTAGTTAAAATTCCCCACATTTTGAAGGCACATATTGAAGGATGAAAGAACACCTTGGACTGGCCTGGAAGACTCTAGTCAAATTAGATGCAACATAGTTACTCTCATTTCTAAAGTAGTTGAAGCTAGTAAATGGGCATGTGCAGATGTGTAGAGAGATGTTTCTGTCCTGTTTGGTCCCTCAGCTGTTCAGTCCCCAAAAAACACACAGCAGCTTATATTAATTATAAACTGGTTGTCCTATTAGCTCAGGTTTATTATAAATTAAATTAACCCTTAATTCTTACCTATGTTTAGCCACCTGGCTTGGCACATTACTCAGAGCAACATTCTCATCTTGCTTCTTCCCTGTCTGACTGGTAACTGCACACTGACCCCTCCCTCTTCCCAGAATCCTCCTAGTCTGGTTGCCTTGCCTAAACTTCCTTCCTGGCTACTGGCCAATCAATGTTTTTTAAATCAATACAAGTGGCAAATCTTTACAGGGTACCAGACCATTATCCCACAGCACTTCCCCTTTTTTCCTTTCAAAAACAAAATCATATCTATAAGAGTAGAACAGTCAGCCACTGGCTTTTACCTCTACCTCAGTCTGAAATGGTGGTCCTGCCTCCAGGAATCTCAGAATGAGACTGAGCCTGATAGCTGTCTCGTCCATTTTATAATCCTCTTCAGGGCTAAGATTAAAGGTGTGCACCACTGGGATTAAAGGCATGTACCGCCTTGTTTCTATAGCAACTCCTGTGGCTACTGGGATTTAAGGTGTGTGTTACCACTGCCTGGCCTGTAACCTGACCACTAAGGCTATTTACTCTCTGATCTTCAGGCAAGCTTTATTTATTAAAATACAAATGAATAGCCGGGCGGTGGTGGCGCACGCCTTTAATCCCAGCACTTGGGAGGCAGAGGCAGGCGGATCTCCGTGAGTTCGAGACCAGCCTGGTCTACAAGAGCTAGTTCCAGGACAGGCTCCAAAACCACAGAGAAACCCTGTCTCGAAAAACCAAAAAAAATAAAAATAAAAAAAATACAAATGAAATGCCTTAACACAGATGATTATATGAATATTCTTACTTTCATAGAGTTTTAAATTTTCCATCATAAAAGACTCAACGGAGAGCAAGTAGAAATACATAAGAACTAGTCCATATCAGAAGGTGATAGGCATCTGTCTGGAGGACACAGTGCTTGAAGAGGGCAAAGCACAAAGTCATCCATCTGGCATCAGCCTATCCCAACTTACTCTCCCTTCTTCCTTTCAGGGCCTTTATTTGCTTACTGTCATGAGTCAGCTGCTCTCTGACGCATCTAAGGATGAAGACGTGTGCAAATACTTTAAGATGATTAAGGAAGAAAACAGAATCATTTCTCAGAAAACCATCACTTCAATTGAGTTACACCTGGCACAAAGAAACATTCAGAAGACAAATAATGTAATTACTGATTCATTAAGAGAAAGTAGCAGTACCTCACTCAATATTGCTGTAATAGGAGAGTCTGGAACTGGGAAGTCCAGTTTCATCAATGCCTTTAGGGGGATTGGACATGAAGAGGAAAATTCAGCTCCAATTGGTGTGGTGGAGACAACCATGAGGAGAACTCCATACAAGCACCCCAATATTCCCAATGTGGTTATTTGGGACCTGCCTGGGGTTGGAACCACAAAATTCCCACCCAAAGATTATCTGGAGAAAATGAAATGCAACGAGTATGATTTCTTCATCATTGTTTCTGCCACACGCTTTAAGAAAAATGATATAGACCTCGCCAAAGCAGTCAGCATGATGAAGAAGGATTTCTACTTCGTGAGAACCAAGGTGGATATAGATTTAGAAACTGAGAAAGGATGCAAACATGCCTTTGGCAGAGAAAACTTACTGCAGCAGATACAACGCCATTGTGTCGATACCTTTAAGAAAAACAACCTGCATGTACCACCGATCTTCTTGATCTCTAACAAAAATTCATCTGACTATGATTTCCCAATCCTGAAGGACATGCTAAAAAACAAACTTTCTACTCCCACACTTCCAAACTTTATGTATTCTTCACTGAGTAAGGCTGAGGCAGTCATTGAAAGAAAGCGTGAGTCGATGCACCGGTTTATCTGGCTAGAAACCATAAAGAATGAAGCTTGGACAAGTCTTTCTGTAAAGGGCATCCTCAAGGACAGTGATATGGAGAAGTTGAAGGTGATTTTAAACCACTATCGAAAGCTCTTTGGAGTTGATGATGGAACCTTGAAACTCATGGCAAAGGATTCCCAAGTGCCTGTTGAAAAACTGAAAAAAGTCATTAAATCTCCTTATTTGTTGGAAACTAAGAAAAGAGAAACATTAGAAGGAAAACTTTTGAAATATTTGGAGAGATTTGCCTCAGCCAATGGTGGGCTCTTGGCTACAGGTCTCTACTTTAGGAAAACCTTTTACTTACAACTTCTGTTCCTTGACACAGTGGCTGAAGATGCCAAAGTTGTCCTTAGAGAGACATACTCAAAAATTAGTTCAAACTCACATCACCCACAGCTACTGACCATGGATAGGTGTTACTCTTTCCTCGTGTCCTTGACAGGATTTGTGCTTGTATGTTTTGCTTTGTCTTATCTTAGACTTTGGACATGGAATGAGGTGTAATATCCAAATAATTTTTTTAATATTCAGATTATTTTAATCTTACTATATAATAACACAAATATGTAATTTTTAAACATATTAACATGAGTTAATTCTGCAATAGCCTGTTTATTCAATTACTTTTAAGGCTAAGGCTCCAACCCAGGCCTTGTAGATGCTAGGCAAGCATTTTATCAATAAACTATGCATCTCACATTGTGAAAGCTTTTAGATTTAAGTAAGACAATTGTCTGACTATTCTGAAATTCTGAACTTATATAATTTAATTGCCATATCTGCTCATCTAACAAAAAATGATAGGATGTAGATTACATATTGTTATTGTTCTGGCAAATAATGTAAATGAAATAGGTTCTTCAATGTTCAACATAATCATATGTAATAAACCAATTGTCACACATTTTAATATGTTAATAGTAAGTCATAATTAATTTGAATCCCTACGACATCAACTTGTACTGGGGAACACTCAGAACATTCGTTTCCCTTCCTGATTACCCTAACCCTCCCTAATAATGTGGCAAAAACATGTGAAGGCTGGGTTTTGTTGTTGCTCTTGTTTGTTTTTATAAGATTTTTCTGTACTTCCTTAAGACCCCATTGATTTCTATAAACCTGCTTTGCAAGTACTCCTGATTTTACCCTTAAGAGAGCCCTAAGAAATGAACTCAGCGTTGCTCTCTTTAACCGGCCCAGAGAGGCAGTCTCTTGCCAGGTCTCAGGTACATCACAATAAAAACCTCAAATTTGGCTCAGAATGGTGATAATGGTCTCATTCTCACCCAGTGTGGTTCACATTGTAGGGGCATGGCTTGGTCTGTTCCAAAAGGGGGGATTCTTTTAATATTTATTTATTTATTTATTTATTTATTTATTTATTTATTATATATACAATATTCTGTCTGTATGCCTGAAGGCCAGAAGAGGGCACCAGACCTCTTTACAGATGGTTGTGAGCCACCATGTGGTTGCTGGGAATTGAACTCAGGACCTTTGGAAGAGCAGGCAATGCTCTTAACCACTGAGCCATCTCTCCAGCCCCAGGGGGAAATTTTTGTAATGAAGCCACACAAACAGAAGAAAGTAGAAATAAATGCAAATCAACTGCATTAAAAGCTGTAAAGAGAAGCATCAACTCAAAAGAGAAACACATCAAATTAACATCCAATCTCTAACCAGCAACCCTAAGTGACAGGGAAGTGTGGGGTGGTGAATCTAAAGCCCTAAATGTAAATCATTGCAGTTAATATCACTATATACACAAAGCTATCTTTTAAAATTGACAGAAAAATAAGAACATTTTAAGACAAGCACAAATTCTGACAATTATGACTACTAATCTAGTACTCCAGAACATACCTAAATGAATATGATATGCAGAAGAAGAAAAGGACAGTCTCATCCTTTTCAGTCATGACATCACAGGAAAGAAAGCAATCCATGAGAGAATAATGAACAGGGGAGGAATCAGAAAGACTGCATCTTGTCCAGCACAGTGAACCTGCAAACAATGGGATGTGGGAGAGGACATCTAATCAACCAGAATAACCAAGATTACAAAATTTAGCAAACCTCTCTCAATGGTTATCTTCAATGTAAATGACATCAAAGGTAAAAGAATGAAGAAGCACTGACTGGATTAAAAACAAACATAAAACTTGAAACATTTAAGGGTCCGTGTTCTCTCAACTAATATGAGATATGAATATTCACACCACCCCACACTGAGCACAACCAAAAGCCCTGAATAGAATGCAGAGGCTCTGAGAGAAGGGAACAGTGGGGTGTCCAGCCCTAAGTGGAACATCTCTACCATATCCCCCGGTCTTAGGGTTTCTCTTGCCGTGAAGAGACACCATGACCCTGGCAACTCTTATAAAGGAAAACATTTAATTGGGGTGGCTTATAGTTTCAGAGGTTTAGTCCATTATCACCATGGTGGGACATAAAGGTGTGCAGGCGGACATGGTGCTGGAGAAGGAGTTGAGAGTTCTACATCTCGTTCTACAGACAACAAGAAGCTGTCTGTGTGTAGCTTGAGCATAAGATATCTCAAAGCTTGACCCCACTCCAGTGACACACTTTCTCCAACAAGGCCACAGCTCCTGATAGTGCCACTCCCTATGAGCTTATGGGGACAAATTACTTTCAAACCCCCACATACTTCCATTCACGTGGCTCAGGGAGCACCAGAGAAGAGGCAAAAAAAAAATATTATCAATATTTTCTTAATGCATCACTCATTACAGATTTAGCACCCCAAATGTCTCCTTTTGTCAGCTAAAACTCAATACACCCGATGGTTTCCTGAGAAATAATTTTATTCTCTGCCTTAAATTTCTTAAAATATGCAGTGAAGCTGGAGTCGAAATCTTCATGGTCTTCATCCTTAGATGCATCAGAGAAGAATGGCCTCATGACTGTTAGTAAATCAGGGCACTGAAAGGAAGAATGGAGAGTGAGTTCCAAGAGAACAGAGGTGTCTGTGTGCTTAGTGCTGTATTCTCTGTGCTGCAGACTCGGTTATCTTCTGATGCTGACCAGTTCCACAAGATCGTACTGGTTATGTTTTGTCAACAAGAAGAACTCTGTATCCTATCTTAGGTATATGTACTCATTCATGTTCATTCTGACCATATTTACCATAGTCAAGTAATAGAAAGAGTTTTGAAGCCCATCAGTTAATGAATATTATTCAGTGGTAAACAACAACAATGCAATTGTGAAATTCTCAAGCAAATGGATGTATCTTTATTGCATGTTGAGCGAAGTAACCCACACTTAGAAAAGCAAGTACCTAATTTTTTTTAAGTCATATATAGATCCTAGTTTTGGAATTTTAGATTTGAGGCATTCACTTGGAATAACCGTAGACTCCAGGAAACTGGAAAGGAGTCACTGCACAAAGGAAAGAAAGATATTAATGGAGGGTATTGTGGTTTATTCTAAAGTCAACGTGGCACAAACCCTCACCTGAAAAAGTGTCCTAATTGCCTTAGTTGATGGTAGAAGACCCACCCAGATGCAAAGGGAAAGGCAGGGGGCAATCACTTGCCTTGTACTGGCTTGGCCTTCCTTATTGCTGCTGGTTGATTTACCCTGTCTCTGCTGCTGGCTCCCTTACTGATACCAGAACAAGTGTTTCCAGGCTTCCACCCTGGCCTCATCATCAGGAAACTTTCAGAATTTCAGCTCCAGATTGGGATTGTGGAGCTACCCAGCCTGTACCTTGAGCAACTATGGGGTTGTTGTCCTGCCTTGTGAGAGACAGTCAATGTGGGACGACCCTAACTGCTTGAGGCATGACCCAAGTGTGGAACAACTAGCAATTTCTCAGCCTCTCAGCTGTGATCATGTGTTGATGCTATTACAATGTAAGCTATCTTCATATATTATTCTATATATTATGCATGAATTAGACATCTAGTCATTCCTTTGATTCTCTGATGGGGGAAACTTTGCTAACCAATCATCTTTAAGAGGTGGAGCCAAGTTAGGGTATGGCTTTCAGAGAACCAGAGAAAAAATGGACAGGGACCAGGTGATCTCTCTGTGTGTGGTTCCCCCGTGGCACAGCTAAGCTTGGACTTCCCATTCCTGTTTTGTGAGTTTTCCCCTTATAATAAACAAAAATATAATTGTTTTATCCTTTAGCTAGCATGGTTATTTCCAGAATTGAGCTGACTTCTACAATTCTCTTCTTCTATAGAATTCTGAATAATACAGAGGAGATTAGTAGAACACAAGGGGTATGAAGAGGGAAAGGTAAATAATAGGGAAGAGGTCAGAGGGCAGTGCAGAGGAGGAGGGAGAGAGAGAAGGAATCACTAACTGAGCATGTCTGACAACACTGTACTGGATTCTACCTTTTATGTGTGCTTAAGGAGTTTAACTGGAGTTACTGTTTGCCGCAATGAGGGGGTGATGCTTGTCCAAGAAGATAGAGCTTATTGTATTAGTTAGGGTTCTATAGAGTCACAGAACTTAGAATTAATCCCTCTTTATATCTAAAAGGGGGATATTGGAATGGCATACAGGCTGCAGTCCAGCTAATCCAACAATGACTAGATGTGAAAGGAAACCCAAGAATCTAGAAGTTCATCAGTCCCACAAGGCTGAGGTCTCAGCTTGTCTTCTGAATACTCCGGAATTCCAACAAAACAGACTCCAATGCCAGTGAGGGAATGAATGGGCTGGCAAGGTGAGGGCAACCAGGGAAACAGCAAAAGCTGCCTCCTTCTATGTCCTTATATATGCTGTCAGCAGGAAGCATGGATAGATTAAAATGTCTTGCCTTCCTACCTCAAAGGTCCAGACTAGAAGGGAATTCACCCATTTTAACCCCAGCATAAAATCTCTCACAGATGTGCCCTCAATTTCTGGATTATACTTCATTCCAGATAGAGTCAAGAACTTGATTATTTCTAGAATGAAGTTCGCAACAAGAAGAGCTATTGAAGGTGTCAAACAGAACTCAGTGTCAGCTGTGTGATACCTGTCCCTCCGTTGTTGATCAGGAAGGTCCCAAGACCTCAAAACAATACAGGATACTGCTTTCATTCTTCAATTCCCACCAGAATCTGATGGCAAGAATCTATTGATAAAGACACCATATACTTTGGTCATAGGACATAGAAATATGTTGGCACCAACCAGAAAACTTCCTGTTTTGTGGCTAACATTCACAGTATTGGTGAGTGCTACTCAAGCTGCTGAGGAAATCTTATGTGACTGAGGATTTGATCAAAGAACAATCCCAATGAGAAGAACACCTGCCCTGCTCTTCTGCAGAAATATTGTTGTCTAAACCTTGATCACTTCCGCATGACCTCAAGACCCAAGGCCCAGCTATGCCCTGCCATTTTCTTATTTTATCCACTGGCTTTAAAGAGTCTAGTGACTGCCATGTCCCTTTATCCAAGAGTCACTACTGCAGCAGGGCTCATCACTGTGGGTATGAAATGCTGTCCTTTGGACAAGTATGACTCATGTTGGAATAGAGTCCTGTTCTATCGAGTGTGAGTCTCTGGAGCATCTGTTTCCTGTTAGAGCCACGGCCGTGCTGTGCTCTGTTCCATAGGGACAGAGTTATTGCCACATCTATTCCCATGGAAATGAGCTACTGAGCCATATGTCTGAGTCACAGACCGTGGATATGTGATCTGTTTTCTCCTGAGCCTTAAGAGGGAATGTAGGCTTATGTCCTAGGTACCACAGACCCTGAGGGCCATCATTTCACTGCCGCTCCAAACAGAACTGCCTTCAAACAGCCTAAAATGATGCTGTGTTTTATACTCTGTGTCACAGTGGACCTGAACCTTTTCAAAACAGCCCTTCCTTACACTGAGTCTTCAAAAGCTCAGTTGTATTGCACATAAAATTCATACTAACCCCACACCCAGAAAAGTTTTTTTAAGAATTTAGTTTTTCGTTTCTCCTAAAATGTATTGTCCATGTTCTTTGTTACAAGCAAATGCAAACAATCCCAAATGAAGGGCAAAGCCTGTCTAGTGCAGGTTCCTCCCCAGCTGTACTGAGGCCTTCATTGCTAGAAGAATGATTGACAATGGGAAGAAAAGAAATGTGGCAGATATATGGGAACCTGTATTAATCTACCAGATATGATGGTGGCTTTGACCAGGGAGACTTCGACGTGAACAATCATAGGTAAATAAGAATTTATTTAAATAAGAAATAAGAATTACCAAAGTCCTGGTCTTAGAGGAATGAACCCCATTGCCTCACTTGCAAGAGGGATTCTCAATTGAGGAATTCCTTTAATCAGATTGGCTTGTGGGAATATCTCTGGGGGATTTACTTGATTGATAAATAATGTAGGAGGATATAGCCCACTGTGGTGAGTGCCATCCCTAGGAATGTGGTCCTGGGATGTGTGAGAAAATAGGGTGAACAAGCCATGGAGAGTAAGTCAGTAAGCAGTGTTCCCTCCCAGTCTCTCCTTCAGTTCCTTGGCTTCTTTTGATGATGACTGTAACCTGCCAGCCAATTAAATACTTTCCTCCCTAAGGGTGACTTAGTTAGTGTTTCTGCTGTATTTGGCGGCGTGAAATTGGGAGAGTGGAACCTAAAAATGAGGTGGTCTAAAGTCTCATGCAATAACCAACTTTATTCAGGGAATCAGACAATTTATATTCTGAGTGCATTTTGTGGATTAAGCATGATCGTGTGAGCAAAGATCACTTGAGTTCAAGCTATGATCAATCACAAAGGCAAGCTCACCTGGGTTTAGGGAGTATAGAGTCAGGAGGACAACTTCTGTTTGGAAACATCATCCTGAATACTAGTGGTAAGATGACAGGTAATCTACAGTAAAACCCACTCCTGTTTATTCCACCTCAGAGGGGCACGGCAGCGCATTCCACAAAAAAAAAAAAAAATCCATGCTATGGAAGAACAGAATTACAAAAAACTTATATGTAAATATGTAAATTTTACGATTGCTTTAGCCAGGTGGTTTTGTCTTTTTGTCTTTGTCCTGGAGTTTTCTCACAAGCTCTCAGGAATCTCCTCAAACAGCTTCCTTCACTGACTGTGTATCAAGAGCTAGTGTTTAATCCCATCAACAGAATTACAAACTATGACAATGTACAGACTACTTGTTAACCTTGAGGAGAGCTTCATGAAACTTTTATGTTTCCATACTTTAAGACTTGAGATTTTATTTCCTTCCTGAATCTTATTTTATTTTATATTTAAAATGTATCCCTGTGTACATGTTTACATGTGTGCGGACATGTCAGGCTTATGTTGGGTCTCCTGCTCCATTACTTTCTACCCTTTTCATCAATGCAGTTTCTCTCAATTGAATCAAGAGCTTGTAGATCTACACAGCCTAGCAAGCCAACCTGCTCCATGACTGCACTGTTTCTGCATTCTGAGTGTGGAAGTACAAGGCGGCTGCCACACACACTGAACTTCTATATCTGTTCTAGCAATTGAGCTCTGGTCCTCATACATGCATGGCAAGTGCCTCCAGCTTCCTGAGATGCCATTAGAATGTCTGATTATCTGATTAGGAGGAATTAGCTACAAAGCACTTATTCATATCTTTTGTGTGTGCTGGAATATTTTGGGTGTTGTACATGTCTATTCATGAATGTGTGCATGTTTGTGTGTGTGTATTCAAGTGTACAGGTGAATGTATCTGATTTTTTGGGCCACCAATCAGCTCCCAAATTATGACACAGAGAGTTATTAGCATTGAATGCTGGGCCTCACTTTAGCTGTTTTTTTTTTTTTTAAAGTGGCTTCTTTCTTTTTCTTATTTCTTTTTTCTCAGCTTTTTTTAGGCCTTACTTGAAAATACAGGCCCCACATTGGAATGGCAAATGTACCATGATTTTTACACAGTTAAGGTCATATTCTGCAACATAAACAAATGTAACACATCTTTGTCCAGATAAAACAATTTTCCTCAAAAGGTGGAGTTGAAGACAGAAAGGAGGGTAGAGAGGTGAAGAGGGACTGGGGTTGTCATATGAACATATATGAACTTCTATATAGGTTCTAGCAATTGAGCTCTGGTCCTCATGCATGCATGGCAAGTGCCTCCAGCTTCCCGAGATGCCATTAGAATGTCTGATTAGCTTATTAGGAGGAATTAGCCACAAAGCACTTATTCATATCTTTTGTGTGTGCTTACTATGTCATATGACATAGTCAGAAGCAGGGTCCATATCTTTAGGTGTTTCCATGGTGATACTCGTTTCGATAGAGTAAAAAAAAAAATATGTCAGAGGGGGGAATTCATCTAATGACTTCTTGATAGTAATCATTTGCTCTTGTCATGGTCAGTAGCTGTGGATGAGGTGAGTTTAAACTACTTTCCTAAATTTGTCTAAGGAGAATTTTGGCGTCTTCAGTCACTGTGTCAAGGAACAGAAATTGCAAGTAAAAGGTTTTCCTAAAGTAGAGACCTGTAGCCAAGGGCCCACCAGTAGCTGAGGCAAATTTCTCCAAATATTTCAAAAACATTTCTCCTAATGTTGTTTCTTTCTCAGTTTCCAACAAATAAGGGGATTTAATCATTTTTTTCAGTTGTTCAACAGGCACTTGGGAATCCTTAGCCATGACTTGCAGGGATTCATCATCCACTCCAAAGAGGACTCGATAGTGGTTTAACTTCTCCTTCAGCTTCTCCACATCATCCATGAGGATTCCCACTACAGGAACAGTAGCGAAAAGTCCATCCTTGCAGGCTTCCCACCAGATAGCCTGCTGCATAGAGTTGTGCTTTCTGTCAATGGCTGGTTCTGTAATATTAGCCAAGGAAAGCATAAAATTGTGGCGCTTTTGAGCAGGAAGATCCTTTACCAGGGTGTCCATCAGGACTGGAAAATCATAGTCAGATAAATTGCTGTTAGAAATCAAGAAAATCTGTGGAGCATCCATGTTATTCTGACTGAAGGTGTTCACACACATGCTTCTGATCTGCTGCAGGGTCTTTTCTCTGTCAAAGGTATGTGAATTGCGTTTCTTCTCATTGTCTAAATCCAGGTCCACCTTGGTTCTCACAAAGTAATAATTCTTTTTCATAAATTTGATTGCTTTGGCAAGGTCTAGTTCAAGTTTTGTAAAACGTGTGGCAGAAACAATAATGAAGAAATCATACTCTTGGAATTTCATTTTCTCCAGATAATCTTTTGGTGGAAAGTTCACAGTCCCAATGCCAGGCAGGTCCCATAAAGTCAAAGTTTGAATTTTGGGGTGTTTGTATGGAGTTCTCATCATAGTTGTTGCTACCACCCCAACTTGAGCTGCACCTTCATCTTCAGGTCCCACCCCCATCAGGGCATTGATCAAGCTGGACTTCCCTGCTCCAAACTCTCCAGTGACAGCAATGTTTATTGGGGCATTATCAATATTTTTTAATGCATCCCTGATTACAGAGTTTGCCCCCTGAATGTTTCCTTTTGTCAGGTGTAACTCAATTGAATCAATGGTTTCCTGAGTAATGTTTTTGCTTTCTGTGTTAGTCGTCTTAAAACATATAGTAAAGCTGGATTCCAAATCTCCACGGTCTTCATTCTTAGATGTATCAGAGAAATACTGACCCATGATTGTTGATAAAAAGGCCCTGAAAGAAAGAAGGGAGAGTAAGTTGCAAGAGATTCAAGAAACATTTATGCTTAGCACTGAGTTTTCAATGTGTGGTTTAAGTTATGTTCTGATGTTGACTAGTTCCCATATATATTATGCTGATTATTTTCAGCCAACAGGATATAAGCTGTAGTCCTTTTGGAGGAGAAAATCTCATTTGAGGAAGTGCCTCCATCAGACTGGCCTGGGAGCACCTTTATGTGGTATTTTCTTGGTTGAATATTGATGATGTGGGAGCTTCCAGCCCACTGCTGATTGTACCACTGCTGGGCTGGTGGTCCTGGGTACGTTAAGAAAGCATTATCAAACTATGGGGAGCAAGACAGTAAACAATATTCTTCTTGAAGCACGATTAATAAAACCTCAGAGAGAGAACTTGGGTTTCAACATGAAGGCCAGAAGAGCAAAGCAGCCATGCACTGGCTCTTACCTCTACCTCAGTTTGAAATGGCGATCCTGCCTCCAGGAATCTCAGAATGAGACTGTGTCGGAGAGATATCCTCCCATTTTCTAATCCTCTCTCGGGTTGGGATTAAAGGCATATACCACTGCAATTAAAGGCATGTACCACCTGGTTTCTATGGCAGCTAGTGTGGGGACTGGGATTTAAGGTGTGTGTTACCACTGCCTGGTCTGTAAGGCTGAACATTGAGGCTGTTACACTCTCTGATCTTTGGGTAAACTTTATTTATTAAACTACAAATGAAATGCCACATAATCTCCTATTGAGCCTGCCTCTACTCCTGCAGAGCTTCTGCCCAGACTTCCCCCAGTGATGGACTGTGCTGAGTGTGTAAGTCCAAAAAACCATTTTCTTTTAGAAATTCTTTTGGTCACAGTGTTTATATCATAAATAGATAGGAAACTCAATCAAATTTGTACTAACTCTCAATTAAACCCTTCATTATAGAAAAATATTACTTAAATAAAGAAAAATAATATAAAATCTGCACATGTTTTTGCCAGCATCATCAATTTATCAAGTACAAAATCATGAGTAACTGTGTCGCATCTAACTAGAACTGGAACATTTTATGTAAAATCTGAGATGTCAGATCTTGTCCATCTGTGCACAAGTGTGTGCTTTCAAATGAATAGAAATTTAAATACATCTAGTTTTAAACACTGAAAAATAAATAATAAGAAATGACAATTTATATCAGTGTTTAATCAATGCCAAATCTCTCTACTGATCACACAGATCAGTTTTTTTGTCTGTGTTACTTTGTTTTCAAAACATTTCAGTAAGTTCAGCTACTGTGTTTTGCTGAAATAATTTTTATTTTGTCTAGATTTACTTCCTTTTGTCTTTTCTTGACAAGGAACTCATCTCCATGAAGAATATAAACTTACAATAATACAAAACTTCTTTACCTTTAAACTCTGTGATATAATTATATAATCCAAAACAATATTTCCGTATCCTCAAGCCATTATTTAGATTCACTATTTCTTCTAAACCTTTTAGTTTATGAAAGCAGTCTAACAGTGTACTGGAGATGTAGGTCAATTGGTAGAGAACTTTGCTAGCATGAGTAAGGCCTTGGGTTCATTCTCCAGCACCTCATCAAAAGCAGGTGCTTGTGGATCCTTGTAATTCTGGAACTCAGGGAGAAGGTTAAGAGGGTCATCTTTGGTAGTGAGTTAGGGGCTAACCTGGGCTACTTGAGACCTTGTCTCAAAAAAAAGTATCAAGTATATTAAGGCTTGGCAGGTAAATACACTTACTGTCAGGTCTATTGACTCGAATTTAATTGTTGATTATTTAACCGGTTCAGATCTCATATGTATAATGGATATTTAAAGATTGCTGAGGATCCCCAAGTAGCTTTTTGTGGAATCCCCGGCAGGCAGGGGGCAGCAGGTCCCAAGAGCAGCTGGTCCCAGACAGGGCTGGGGTGTGAGACTATGCAGAAGGTCTCCAAAGGTGGCTGGTCCCCGGTGGCTAGCCCTGTGGGCCACGGGTGGGCAAGAGACAGACAGATAGGCACACCATACAGAGTGAAGTTGGACATATATTAGGTGGGTTATGGAGAGGAAGGGAAAAGGGGAGAAGAGGGGAAGGAGAGAGACAAAGATGGGGGAAAGGGAGAAGTGGGGAGCCATGTTGATAGCAGTTGGGCATGAGACAGATCCAGCAAGCAAGCTGCTTGGGGATTGGCAGCAATCTTTAAAAATCCATTACATTGGTGCTGAGACTTGAGAGGCTCTCCCACCCCAGTTCCTCTCTGGGGGTTGGATCTCCCAGATATATTTTTTTACATTTGTTATAATTGTTCATTACATCTCATTTCAGACTACAAAAACAATGTCTCATGTTTTAAACTGGTATATACTTTTAAGTTTTTTGCAAAAATAATTTATATTTAATCCAATACTCATTTAAAATATATTAAGCTGTTCTCTACTATTGTCAGTTCTGCCATTAATCTTCTATTGCAAGCAGTTTTTTCTTCTTTCTGTCTTTTTTACAAGTGTAAATCTTACCTGTTAAGTTGAGAGCCAGTGCAGTCAAGCTCAGACCCAGCTCTCCAGTCAGATTCTATACTGTAGTTTTACCTGATAAACAGCCCTCAACTGCTCAGACATTTGGGGGATATGACATTTAGATATTTAATCATTAAAAACTTTTCATAACAAAAAGAGATACGTCGGCTCCTAGCAGCAGCACTCTATTTCCTCCAAAGACAGAAGACAAATGGGCACATAACAACATCCATCTGCAATTCACTTCAACTGCCAAGTGCTGACCACTGGGAAAAACTGCCTTTCATCTAAACTGAAGATCACCTGATGTGGACAGAATCACTGAAATTGACAGCCTAGCCGCTCAGCTCAAGGTAGACTTGTCTTCCTACAGATTTCTCAGTTCACAGGATCTTCTGGAGCCTGTCAGGTCCTGCACTAAACAGGAAAAGGCAAATGTGACCTTTAGTGACCATGGAGGACCCTGAGGAGTAGCTCTGGGTGTCAACCAAGTGAGTTTTCTGTCATTTTTTAATCGGTAACTCAAGTAAAATTTGTCCTTCTCAAAGATCTCTGATGCTGTCTTTACAGCTGAGAGGCTTTGTCAGTTTAAAAGGACAACCTCACCAAAAAAAAAATTTCAACAAAGTACAAATACAAGACCTGCAAGTTATAAAGGTGTGAGGGCAAATACAAGTTATCAAGCTTCTTTGTCATGCTGCCTTCCATAGTCTTAAAAATACTTTTCATTGTGCAAAAAAATAATCTGTCACAGTCATTCTGACATAAATATGCTACTTTTATACATATTTGTGTCTAAAACTTCTGTTTTCACAAACCCAAAGATTCTTCTGGGTTCCAGGGAGCCAAATTGAAGGATCCACCTTAAACAGGTCAGATACACCCCCCTCAATTCCCTGGTCCTAAATTTTTCCCCTTAACTTAACCTCTGCCAATACCTTAAACAGGTGTAAGAAATACTAGACATTTCCAGACCACAAACACCGGACAGGAACAAAGAGACTAACCATGCCAGGAGTGACCAGCACCTAGCCTTCTCAGGTTCCTCCCAAAAGAAGACGTCCACAAATAAGCGGAAGTAGCCTTGAGAATCCTACAACCCAATTCCTTTAACCTGTGGTGCCTAATCTCCCGTATTTTATTATAAAAAGGAGATGGGAATGTAATTATCTATTCTGTCCCTTTAAGAGACAATCCATGTCCACTCTCTTCCTGCTTGCAGCCTTAGTCTTTCTCTTCTCCATCTTCCACTGAGGAGGCAGCTTCTGCCACTCCCCACTTCTCCCCTTCCCCCTTCTCTCTCTCTCTCTCTCTCTCTCTCTCTCTCTCTCTCTCTCCTTTCCTCCCCTTTTCCCATCCCCTCCATAACCCACCTAATAAATGTCCAACTTTACTCTGCATGGTGTGCCTAGCTGTCTTTCACCCACCTGCCCCCACCACATGGCTCGCCAGCCAAGGATGCCACCAGGGACCAGCCACCTTTGGAGACCTGACACATGGCCTCAAACCCCAGCCCTGCCTGGAACTAGCTACTTTTGGGACTCGCTGCCCCCTGCCTGCTGTGGATCCTGCAGCAATTTTTAATAATCAATTATAATATGTCAACCCTTTATTTTCCACAAACTTGCCTACAAGTCCTTGTATGAGAGCACAACAGACCTCACAATCAGTTATGAAAACAGCAGATCCCCATTGTCACCCTGTAGTCTCCTCTTTCTATCTCACCCACATAAAATTAGTTCAAAGACTCAGGCTCTATTTCCTAATACGCTTACAATTGATCATCCCTCCTCCTTTATGCTCTGCAAGACCTCCTCAATTCCAGCTATGATTATGTCATCGATATTGCTATATTTCCTGTGATTGATTTTGCAATAACAATGATGATAAAGCAGCCAGAGTTATTTTAGTGACACTGAAGTCATACTATGTCAAGTCAATTCTGACAGGCACACAAAGATTTCTGTTTCAGTTGGAGCATTCATTGGTTATGCAGTGCACATGCTCCATACATTATACCTTTGAATACTTATTGCATTTCTGGAGCCTCTAGTGTCTGAATTCCAGCCCCCTGATGTCTTGGGCTGTCTTCTCATCTCATCACTTTGTGACTGCTTCTATGTCTTTTTGTTCTCTCCCTGTAACCACATGGCTGTTATTCACCTTTCTCTAGGTTAGGCTTCAGTTAGGCCAGATTCAGGATTTAATTCAAATTGGGATGTACAAATACCTTCCTCTTATCATTTGCCATCCTTTCATTATGTTTCAGTTTCTCCACAGCACTTGCTACCGCATAGTGTGTATTTGTCTTTCATTTGATGTTACCCCCCCACAATATAATAACCTCATGCAGCAGAAAGTGCTTTTGTCTTGCTTTTTGTCTACAACTGATAAATACCTTCGGTGATGTGGCAGGATACAAGATCAACTCAAAATATCACCCTCCTATACACAAAGGATAGAGAAGCAGA